AAAAAAAAAAAAAAAAAAACCTTTTTATATAAAATAACGATTGAAATAGAAAAGTTATATAAATATGTATTACATTTATAATTGAATTATTACATAACTAAGTAAGTTATTTAATAATGATTACATCTTAGCTCATTTTTTTAGATTTTAATGATAAAATAAAACAATAAAAATTTAGGATTTTTCCTATATTAATGGTAACTATTGTATGTATATAATGAATATTATATATTTTTTATATACTTTGAGCATTTATTAATAATAACTACTAGTGCGATACCCGTGTACTACACGGGTACTTGTTAAGAAAATTATTTTTAAATTAAATGATAATAACAACAAAAATTGTTAAAATTAAATATATGTATTTAATATTTATTAGGCTAATTTGAGGTTTTCGTGAAAATTAATGAGTTGATTGAAAGCTTCCAAAACAAGTCAATGTTATATTAGTAAATCAATACCATAACCAAATGTTTTAATACAACTTAAGGGTTATATTAGTAAAACTACTATGAAACTACCAATTTAGTTTTTCAATATTTTTAGAATGTCCGAACTTAAAATTAATGATTTAGAATAATATTATTTTTTATACAAACCTAACCACGAAGCATATTTTTTCGCCAAGTAAGACTCCGAAGCATGCGAGACTGCCACTTACACTACAAAAAAATTGTTATATTCCAACGGAAAATCCTATAGTAATATATTTCAATGGAAATTCCAACGGATACTCCAATGGTATAGCTTTCGTTGGAATGGTTCCAACGGAAATTCCAACGGAAATATTCCGTTGGAATGTGTTTTTCATTGGAATTTTAGATGGAATTTGGTGATTCCAACGGCTATATTTCAAACGGCTTTTTACCGTAGGAATTTTCGTTGGAATATGCAATTTCCGTTGGAATTTTTATTTCCACCACCATTGGAAAATCCACCGTTGGAATTGTCAAAATCCAATGGAAATTCCAATAAAAAACTCATTCCAACGGAATATTTCTGTTGGAAGTTCCGTTGGAATCCATTAAAAATTTCAACGGAAATAATAGTATTGAAATATCCGTTGGAATTTCATTATTTTCTTGTAGTGTTAAGCTGACATTCTGTAATTATATATAGGGGTGATAACAGTACCACCAAAAGAATTGAAAATGTGAACTTAAAATGGAGAATATAAATCTTGTTCGCCAT